TGAAAAAATAAATGCCCGAACAAAACGCCTCGCTCTCAAATTTCTCTCTACCTTTTTATTCGAGGGATGAAATACAGGTAGATGGTTTCTCAGTGAGAATCCTGTGGCAGGAAGGAAGGAAGGTCACTGATCCCAGAAAGCTGGACTAGGTCAGCATTACCGGTAGAAGACACACGGTACCAAGTCAGCAGCCTCAAGTGCACCTGAATGCTCGAGCTGTCTGTGCCACCACGTTCCAGCCTCCCCCTCCCACAGAAAAATGAAACAGCAGCAATTTAGGAGGGCAGGGAGTTCAGGAAGGCTCTAATCTCGTGAACTCGCTGATGGGGGTGGGGGGGTGAGGTGAGAAGAGCTTGTTCGTCTCTGCTGAGAAACAGTAGAAGGTTTGTTGGAAGCAAACTTTGTAAGAGCGTCTGTATTTCTGCTGACGTGGCACGTAGCAGTGTTTGAGGGACTTTTGAGTGACCCCAAATTTTAGGAGCCTGAAGATCTTTCAGTTGCAGAAGTGGGACTCAAAGTGCAAGAACATCTGGAAGCAGGCTGGTGAACTGCAAGGCTCCTTTATGGTTAAAAATAGGAGAATTTTCAAAGTTAAAAAGAAAGAAAAGCTTTTAAAAAGAACAGATCTGGGAAAAAAGAAGACAGAGCTGCTATTTTTTACGATGCTTTACAAGTTTCAAATTTAGGCTCTCGGTTCCTGTGTCCAAAATGGAAATGTCTTAAAATTTACTGATTTTTAATCACTAGAGCAGTATAAAACTGGCTTGCAGACATGGGGAAGCTGGAACAGACACCAAGGGGGGCAGCTACAAGGCCAACTTAAAAAATCTGAAACCAGATGGGGTGAGATTTTCCCCCAAGTGTTGAAGGCCCTGCCCTAATTTTGACTCGGGTTTGTCGTTGGTGTCAGGAGTGATGTTCGCTGGCTTGCGCTGTGCTTAGCTTTAGCGCTACTTAGGCTAATTACTGTTTCATTAATCATTTGCAGCCAGTTTACATCCTCATCCTGTTTTCATGCTTTTACTATGTTTGCATAAGAAAATGTGTTTCTGTGGAATGCTCTGAGGGACTTGTTTATGACAGGAGATGGATAAAGAAGAGCAGTGGTGTCATTTCAGAGTCAAATCCTCACCGGCCGCAGGGCTCGGAGCGCAGCAGCGCTCGAACCCTCCCACAGAAAACTGTCGATCGTCCCGCGAGCCTCTTCCTGCGCTCGGGCTGCGCTTCACGGGGTTGTGACTCTGGGCGAGAGGAACTTAAAATAGAAATTGTCTCCATGTGAAGCCTTTTATCGTGGCCCCCGTTACCCAGCAAAGCAGGGCGCTGCCGTGCGGGTTGACCGGCCATCGCCCGGTGGGCTGAAACCGCGACCCGGCGTCGGGCTGGTTCCGTCGCGACACCTGCGGAGCGAAGCGGGGCGAGGAGAAGCGGAGTCAAGGGACAGGATGGATGCGTTGGTGGGGGGCCTTAGTGGTGGATGGCGGCTTTAACTGGGAGGACTGAGAGAGCGCGGGGACAGCAGGAAATCTCACCCAAGGGGCGAGCCGCCGCCTTGTTGCCGTGCCCCCTTTCCCAGCCCCTCTCTGCGGTTCGGGGTTTCCCTCCGTGCCCGGGGAAACCGGACCGTTCCTGAGCCAGGTCCAGCGCGTTCCAACTATTACCGTTAATTGTCTTAAATTGTCGCTGCTGTCAGCCCTGTTCTCGTGGTGCCACCTCGCGGGGAGTTCATCTCGCCTCTTCCTAAATTTCAGTGCTGGTCTGGCGGGACCCGTCCTGGTCTGTAACGGGAGGAGGCGAGCGGCGGC